GCGACCAGTCAGAGGGAGGGACTGACACTTAGCCTTTTATATATATAAGTAACTTTAAAAAAGAGGGAATATCCACACCATTATCACTCCAAAAAATATAAGTCTCTGACTATAGTTGATAAATATAATTGAAGTTTGCTTCAATTATAGAGTAGAACTTAAATGTTCTCACTCATTCCCCTCCAAGAGATGAATATATAAAGTGATGGATGTGTTAACTAGACAGTGGAAATCCTTTCACAAATGTATGTCTAATCATCAGGATGTACATTTAAATATGTTGCAATTATATTTGTCAGTTATACTAAAGTTAAATATGTAAGATTTTAATATCAAATACCAAGTCAGAATACAAACTGATGATTGTAACTTTTTTTAAAGAGTTTGTTTAAATCAGTTTACAAAAGGGTTCACATAAAGTCTAACTGATGGACATAAGCCTCAGTCTCTTTTAATCCATATATTCCGCATCTATCTCTTTTATGCCTTTCCAATTTATAGTTGAAAAATATTGGCTAAACAAAATCATGTATTTTCTATTTATTATTTTCGCTACTAGGGTTAAAGAAAATAAAGTGTTATTTATTTAAGCCCCAAAGTTCTTAAGATAATGACTGAACTCTACATTCCAACTAAATACAGGAAGGAAATGATGGAAATGTTTTGCATTTATGTGAAATCAACCGGTATTTGCAAGTCTCATAAAATCTGCACAAACTCTACTGCTATAAAGAATGCTGTCCTGGCTGAACAGCTCAGTTGATTAGAGTGTCCTCTTGATACAACAAGGTTGCCAGTGTGATTCCTGGTCAGGGCACATACAAGAAGCAATCAGTGAGCCCAGCCAGCATGGCTCAGTGTTATGCATCGATCTATGAAATAGAAGATCAATGATTCCCTCTCATCATTGATGTTTCTGTCTCTCTCTGCCTCTCCCTTCCTCTCTTGGAAATCAATAAAAACATATTTTAAAAAATAAAAAAGAGCCGAAACTGGTTTGCCTCAATGAATAGAGCATCAGCCTGCAGACTGAAAGGTCCCAGGTTCGATTCCGGTCAAGGGCACGTACCTTGGTTGTGGGCACATCCCCAGTGGGGGGGGTGCAGGAGGCAGCTGATCGATGTTTCTCTGTCATCGATGTTTCTAACTATCCCTCTCTCTTCCTTTGTGTAAAAAAATCAAAAAATATTTTTTAAAAATAAGTTAAAATAAAAAAGATCTAGAGTGAAGATTAACAAAAAAAATCTTTATTTTAATTATAATTTAATATTTGACCCACATAAAATCTATTGTAATAAAAGCACAATACGCTAATTAGACCAGATAGCCAGATGACCTTCCGGAAGACCTTCTAGATGAAGCCGGGGCTGCGAGGGCCGAGCCCCTTGTATGAATTTTGTGCACCGGGCCTCCAGTATTACATATATTTAAGTTATAAAGTATAATGTTAAAACAAACACAACCCAGTTTAGGACTAGAGCATTATAAATACTATTAATGTTCTCCTACTCTTCCAAACCCTGGCTTCCCTCCCTCATGTATATAAATGTTTCTTAAAGTCAAGAGTCAAGTAAATGCTTCTTTATGAAGAGAGAGCAAGGAAAATAAGAGAAACAGTAAATTATACAGGTCAATCAATGCCCCCTAAAGGGACAGTCTTTTAAAATATAATTACTGGAGAAGGTGGATGTTGATAAGTAGGAGCCAGAATGGTTTTAAAACTGGTCTAAAAGGAGGGTGCAGAGTAGGAAAACAAACATTTTTTTTAGCTTTCTAAAGAACCTGGTACACTATGTGAAACAATATTAAATTGCTTGAAAGTTATTCTTTGCTATGTTAACAATGTAATAAGTAGACAATATACCAATATAATTAAACTGAAGGCTAATGGGAACTGGGTTGTTAGGAGGGAACATTTTTTATCCACTCTACTGTGATGACTAATCCCTACACTCATGCTGCTACCATTCTACGAGTATCTGATTAAAAGGGTACAGAAAAAAGGAAAGACAAATTGGACCCATTAATGTGCACTTATCCATGCATGAACAGTTTTTGGAAGAATACACAGATATGTAACAATGGTTTCCAGTCTATACCCATTTTTTTAAAACCGTGAACTTGGATTATTTTATTTATAATACTAGAGGCTTCTGAAATAAATAAATTTATATATGTTATTTATTTATAATTTTGTACACAGGCCCTAGGTAGGCTCAGAATGGAGTCCATTCAAGGAGTCAAGGAGACTAGGTTATGAGATGCTTATCAGGGGCCTTGGAACGATCAGATGAAAGTAAAATTTAGCTAAACTGATTGCTAACAGAACTTGGACAATTATGATGAGAGAAAACTAGAAAAGCAGCAAAATACAGTGGAAAGGCCACAGGCTTTGAAAGCTAGATAAGTCAAATCTAGTTTAGTCACTTACCAACTATTTGACCTTACACAAATTATTTAGACCAGCAGTTGCCAACCAGTGGTCCGTGAGGTCCGAAAGGTTGGCGATCGCTGATTTAGACTATTTTCTAGGTAATGGTTCCTCATCTTTATTTGAGAATCCCTATACATAAGTTAGGGAGGGAAAGCAATGGATTTTCCACATGATAGAAATAAATTTTCAGTACCCAAAGATTGAAAAAATACCTATGGAAATTATAAAGATTTTAGTTGAATAACATTTAAAGTTGGCAATCACATGGGGAAAGAGCTACTGGTGGGCACTTTTTTTCTTTAATTGATTTTTTTATAGAGAGGAAGGGAGAGGGATAGAGAGCTAGAAAAATCAATGAGAGAGAATAATCGATCAGTTACCTCCTGCACACCCCCCACCGGAGACGTGCCCGGAACCAAGGTACATGCCCTTGACCGGAATCGAACCTGGGACTCCTCAGTCTGCAGGCCAACGCTCTATCCATTGAGCCAAACCGGTTTTTAAAGCCACAAATTAGGGCAACTTGACACTGTCCAACAAATTTGAAATGCCTGATCTAGCAATCTCACTTTATACTGCATATATGCTTATATAGTGAGTGATATAATGCCTGAGAATGTTCACCACAGTCATTGTAATCATAAAAAAAATTGGAACTGTAATAAACATTAGGGAAATAAATGATTATATCCAAAAGTAAGAATGCTATATGCGCTTCTAATGGAAATAGAAACTGACACAACATTTCTAACCCAGGAAAAGGAATTGACCAAAATCCTTACAATTGTGATGATCTTTGACATTTAGTTCTGTATTCTCAGAACTAACGATGTGAGAATAGAAAGACAGAGATGTTCACAATAGCTCTTTAAAAGAACAATAAATCCTCTTATAACCTATTATTAATAAAAGTTAATAAAAGTTAACCGAGCAAAGGAAAATAGTCATCAAAAATATGTCAGATAAATATTTAGTAAAATGAGAAGACATTTATTACATACTGAAGGGAAAAAAAAACAGTAATATAGAGTTTTGTATGTTCCAATTTTGTAAAAAAGTAAGTCACTACATATAGCATATAGAAGTACACAAAAAATACATATATATATATATATATATATATATATATATATATATCACACACAGAAAAAGAGTTACAAATTGTTATATGCAGAAAGTGGGATTATAGTTTTAAAATGTTTATTTTTTTCAGCCTACTTTTTCTATAATTCACATACTATTCTTATATGACTAAAGCTATTTTAAAATAAAATAAAATAATTAAGAATAAAATCCTTGCGCCGAAACCGGTTTGGCTCAGTGGCAGAGGGTCGGTCTGCGGACTGAAAAGTCCCAGGTTCAATTCCGGTCAGGGACATGTACCTTGGTTGCGGGCACATCCCCGGTAGGGGGTGTGCAGGAGGCAGCTGGTCAATGTTTCTCTCTCATTGACGTTTCTAGCTCTCTCTCTCTCTCTCTCTCCCTTCCTCTCTGTAAAAAATCAATAAAATTTTTTTTAAAAAAAAGAATAAAATCCTTGCATATTAGCATAACCAATGGATACGGACACTAGGATGGTGGGGGCTTGTCCAGGGGAGTGGGAGTAGCCAGGGAGGGGTTCGATGGAGGGGGGGGAGGAGACATATGTAATACTTTAAATAATAAAAAATACAAAGAATAAAGTCCTTTGCAGCAATGCAATGATCCTATGAAGTTGCTTATTCTAGTTTTTTTTTTCTTTCTTTTTTTAATATATTTTACTGATTTTTTACAGAGAGAAAGGGAGAGAGATAGAGAGCTAGAAACATTGATCAACTGCCTCTTGCACACCCCCCACTGGGGATGTGCCCGCAACCAAGGTATATGCCCTTGACGGGAATCGAACCTGGGACCCTTCAGTCTGCAGGCCAACACTCTATCCACTGAGCCAAACCAGTTAGGGCTTATTTTAGTTTTTAATCTTGAGCTGTAACTTGCCAATAATGCATCTTCAGAATATAGAAACAGTTACCAGAAATGAAATGAAAACCAACACTATATAGTCTCTCTAGTTAATAAATATACTGAAAACACTACTCTTTCACCATTTCCTTCCAGTAGACAACAGCCCTATCCTATTTTCCATACCCAGGGCCCAACAACCAAATGAATCTACCAGAGAAAAAGACAAAACCAATCTGCTCAGGGAGGATTCTTAACCAGCTAGTGGGACTCTTCTCCTTAAAAACAACAACAATTAAACCATAACAACAAAAACTCAACCCACATCTTTTCAACAGTTACACATTCTGAGTTTATTTTACACCTTCTCTCCTAGAAATGTTTAGCAGCAAGAATCCACTGCACTCGGACTGGAAATGCCATCGTCAGTTCAGCACTAACTCAGAGGGAACAGCACCACCTACTGAGTCACTGGCCCAACAGAAAACCGCGACTAAATTCACTCTCCAACTACTAAGGCCACATCAGTACCTCAAGCTACACAGGTAGAGCTAGCTGTTCCTAAGACTTTTTACATTCTCTCTTCCCTCTAACCCAGGAAGAACTCCCCAATAATCCCACTTACCATTGTTGTTGGCAATTAGTGTGACAAGAGTCTTCTTGGTGCTGTCGCTGTTCTGTGCCCCGCTGCTGCTGACGGTGGTGGGTGTAGAGAGGTGCCCAGCGACAGAAGCATGGGCAGCGATGGGCACTGGAGCTGAGACTGGCTGCTGGTTCGCAGAAACTGTGGGGAAGGCAGGCACAGTCACTCGAAGGCAGGGACAGTTGACACGAAAGAATACTGTTCTAATCTTCCCCTTTCATCTTATTGCAGGTGGCTATGCCCCAAAGCTTTCCTGCTTTATTTGTAAATCCAACTGTTGATCTATTTCTCCTCCTATCTGTCCCTCACTCTACCAATTAGACACAATGCCACCTTTTCTGTATCTCATTTCCTAATTGATGAAGTTAAATCACAAGCTCACTGAACTGGGATTTTAAAAAAATATATATTTTATTGATTTTTTTTTTTTTTTTTTTTACAGAGAAGAAGGGAGAAGGATAGAGAATTAGAAACATCGATGAGAGAGAAACATCGATAAGCTGCTTCCTGCACAACCCGCCATGGGGATATGCCCGCAACCAAGGTATATGCCCTTGACCGAATCGAACCTGGGATCTTTCAGTCCAAAAGCCGAAGCTCTATCCACTGAGCTAAATCGGTTTCGTCTGAACTGGGATTTTAATGTGCTGCTTATACAGGTCAAGCAAACCTCTAGGACTCAAAGCTTTATTAGCACCACAACCAGTATTCATAACCACGCATAGAAAGTCATCCACAAGATGCTAAACTGTGTCCTGTTTCAGCCAATATCAATGCTATCTTCAGCTCCCAAGGCAAGGAAGATAAAAATGAAGAGAGCAACAGGCACAATTTGGCAGAGGAGGTGTGGGGAGGACTACCACCCACTTTCTGAATTCAAGGCTAAAACTTGACCCTGCAACATCACCTTTTTGAAAGAGAAGCTAATAAGCCTAAGTTTGTAAACTGTCCTTGAAGGTAGATACAAAGTGAATTCTATTCAGCTCACAAGTGAAACTAAATTCAAGTAAAAGAGAAAAGAAAAAAAAAAAAAAGCCAATACTGTGTGAACTTATTTTTGGACTACATGCATAAATGGGCACTGACATATATCATTAACTTTGCATTCTTGTTTATACATCATTTGGTAAGAGGATTGCTAGATGTTTGGTAAATATTGGTTAATACAACTCTCAATGTTTTTTGTTTTGTTTTGTTTTTTTTCATTTTATTTTATTTTATTTTATTTATTTATTTTTAAAAAAATATCTTTTATTGATTTTTTTTTGCCCCCCTCCCTCCCTACCACACCTCCCCTCCCTCCCCAGAGTTTTATGTCCATTGGTTGTACTTATATGCATGTATAAAAGTCCTTCGGTTGATCTATTATCTCCCCCAGATCTTCCTCCCCTCCCCGCTAATACAACTCTCAATGTTTTTAATGAGTTAAATACAGTGTGTCTAACTTTATGTATGAGGAAATGGCAGCACATTCAAATTAGACAGTGGGAAATAAAGGAAGCATCTGTGCCACAAGGAAGCATTCCTGGATTATTAAATCCTTCCCTAACTCACACTTTCTTAACAAAAATGTCCTTCAATTAAGACAACTTAATGTGAGATCAAAGCGTTTCTGTTACCTGTAGTCGTTTTATCCACTGAATTATAATCTTCAACTACAGAATCCTCAATGACATCGCTGATTTTCTGCCACGGCTCCAGCTCCTCCTCCTCACATTCCATAAACAGGTCGGTGTCCGCCATGCTACAAAAAAAAAACAAAAAAATCAAATAAGATATTGACCCCAGAATGGAAAAAAGGTGTTTTATACAAAACACTGAATCTGACTGTTGAATCCATTGGTAACATATCCCCTTATACTACTCTCTACCATGTCCTCTAACCTCCCCTATTTCCAAGGGTCCAAATTATTATACATTAAATACTACTTTCTTTATTACTGGGCCTTTTTGCAACCTCTTAAATTTTGCACCCAAGATGAGAATCTCATTTGTCTCACACTAGTCCCAGCCCTACTACTGTTTAGTACTCCCCCACAGTTTTAAAGTCAGCTATGTGCTTCATTTAAATTTTCTTTTTTTATAAATATATTTTTATAGATTCCAGGGAAGAAGGGAGAAGGAGAGATAGAAACATCAATGAGAGAGAATCATTGGTCGGCTGCCTCCTACACATGCCCTATTGGGGACTGAGCCCACAACCCGGGCATGTACCCTGCCTAGGATTTGAACTGTGACCTCCTGGTTCGTAGGTCGACACTCAACCACTGAGCCACGCGGACCAGGCATCAGCTATGAGCTTCTTTTAAAAACAAAGTCTACTGGTACATCTCTGCAATGTAAACAAAGAGCGAGTGCTATTTTTCTGCCCTCCGATATTAGTTGACTAAAGGTCAATTTCTCTGACTGGGAATGGGAGTAGCATTACTGCTCAATGTTCAAACAAAATCTCTAATGCAAAGGTTCTCAAGCCCTTGGTATCTCAGTAAAAATTTCACCACACCACCGAGCCAAAAATGAAACAAAGCAAAACCACCAGCCTGAGTTAAGTAGTGAGGTCCATACAGTATGACAGCGTTAGTTTGCGAGATGCCCAACTAGATGGCATTGTTCTCTTGAAATTTTAAAAAATCCAGGCAATGCCTCAGGGAGTTACCTAGCTACAGCCAAGTGCCCAGGTTTAATGGGTAAAGTGCTTACTAATTTGCTTCTAAGTAGTCTAATATTCTTTTAAATTATTTGTTTCCCCAAAACCACAAAGGGGAGAAGGAATGAGTAAAAAAAGAAAAAGATCTAAGATACCAACTTAAATTTTATTAGTTTCATATTTAATTTACATATATTAAAGACAATGCTAGCCATAAATTGAATTAAAAAGAAACCAAGACCATATCAATCATTTTTTGAGCCAAGACTATACACAGCTGTATTTTCCTGTCTAATTCCACTGAAAAAGGTTAACTCTAAGCTTGCCCCCCCCCCCCAACTACCTTTATTTGTTTTGTTAATCCTTACCTCAGGATATTTTTTCCTACTGATTTCTAGAGAGTATAGGGAGGTGCAGGGAAGTGGAGGGAGAGAGAGACTGAGAGAGACTGAGAGAGACTGAGAGAGACTGAGAGAGAGAGAGAGAGAGAGAGAGAGAGAGAGAACACGTAACAGAGACCCATCGATTGGTTGCCTTGCGAATGCATCCCATGCAAACCATGTTTGTGCCCTTGACCAGGAATTAAATCTGATACCCTTCAGTGTACAGGCTGGTGCTCTGACATTTTTAAAGAGACATCAAATATGCCAATATGTTAAAAATTGTTGCATCTAGACTAGTGGTTCTCAACCGTTTCTAATGCCGTGACCCTTTAATCAGTTCCTCATGTTGTGGTGACCCCAACCATAAAATTATTTTCGTTGCTACTTCATAACTGTAATTTTGCTAGTTATGAATCATAATGTAAATATCTGTGTTTTCCGATGGTCTTAGGTGACCCTGCTAGTGGTTCTCAACCTGTGGGTAGACCCATAGGTTGAGAACCACTGCTGTAGAACCTAAGGGCAGTCAATTAGCATATTCCCTCTTATTGGCTATGGGCACCATCATCTTTGTGACAGTGTGAGGGTCAATCAGCATATTCTCTCTTTATTAGATAGGACAGTCTGTCATCTTTTTGCCATTTACTAAGTCTAACTGATAGCTTGAATTTTCTGATAGAAGCAATTTTCATACAGACTGCATGCACATTTCTTTTTTTTTATTTTTATAAATATATTTTATACAGAGAGGAAGGGAGAGAGAGTGCTAGAAACATCGATGAGAGAGAGTCATCAATCAGCTGCCTCTTACACACCCACTACTGGGGATATGTAACCAAGGTACATACTCTTGACCGGAATCGAACCTGGGTCCCTTCAGTTCCTAAGCCAACGCTCTATCCATTGAAACCGGTTTCGGCTGCATGCACATTTCTTAAGATATAGCACAATAATTAACATTAGAAAAAAAAATTAATCTAGCTGAAACTGATTTGGCTCAGTGGGTAGAGAGTCGGCCTGTGGACTGAAAGGTCCCAGGTTCGATTCCGGTCAAGAGCATGTACTTTGGTTGCGGGCACATCCCCAGTAGGAGGTGTGCAAGAGGCAGCTGATAGATATTCTCTCTCATTGATGTTTCTAACTCTCTATCCCTCTCCCTTCCTCTCTGGGAAAAAAAAAATCAATAATAAATATATATATATATATATATATATATATATATATATATATATTTAAAAATTAATCTAAGGTTTGTCAGAGGTAGTATAAAATGAAATGAACATTGCCATGTTCCATTAACCCAATTCATTATTCCCCATCTTTTTTATTGTTATTAATCATCACCCGACAATATTTATCCATTGATTCTTAGAGTAGAAAGGAGAGGGAGAGACAGAGTGAGAGAAACATCAATGTGAGAAAGATATATTGATTGGCTGCCTCCAGCACGTGCCCTGACCAGGGATGGGGATTGAGCCTGCAACCGAGGTACATGCCCTTGACTGCAACCCTTTAGCCCAACACTCTATCCACTGAGCCAAACTGGCTAGAGCCATTCATTATTCGACATCTTGGTAACATATATGGTTTCTGTGTTTTATAGTAACAACTGGACTGGTGCACAGATTCATGCACATTGAAAGGAAATTAATTAGAAATTTTAGAGGCCAGGGAGGGACTGCGAAAGGTTGGCTCCAGGGCATGCCTGGCCTCTCGCCCAGTCCCAATCGGCCAGATGCCAGCAGCAAGCTAACCTACCAGTTGGAGTGTCTGCTCCCTAGGGATCAGTGTGCATCATAGCAACCAGTTGAACAGTTGGACAATTAGCATATTAGGCTTTTATATATATAGACTAGAGATCAGGTGCACAAAATCCGTATACAGATGGGGTCCCTAGCCCCGGCTGGCAATCAGGGCCAATCAGGTTCCCCACCTCCTCCTTCTCTAGCTGCCTGCATCCGCCACCACTCAACTCCGGTTCCCCGTCCCAGCCCAGGGGCCTGGCGCTGATTGGCTCCTGTGCTGAGCGTCTTGCCCTCTGGTGGTGTGAGTCATAGCGACCCATCATTCCGTTGTAATGGTCGCTTAGGCTTATACATAGAGATTATACTAGCAAACATGATTTTTGTGCACTACGTAAGCTTTACTCAGCACTGCAACTCACACAGGACTATTAGCAATTCCTGCAGTCTTTCAACACGTTAAGCGCCATGCCAGTCACTGGTGATTGACACCATACTTTCCGTCTGGACCACGGCAGTTTCCAGCTGCCAACATATAGGTGAAATTGGATATCATGGGCTAACCAGAAAGAGGACAAAATAGGCTTGGTGCTTAACGTGTTAAGTATTTGGCATTCTTCTTTCCATCCATAATGTGGGTTTACCAGATACAGACCTTTTGAGGGAGGAGTAAGGCATATATGATATTCTATTTTATATTCAGGTCCTATATAATCAACTCATCAGTAAAAGCTTACATAATTGAAAAGGCAAGGTACAAAGGTCCTATTTATAAATGAAGTTATTTAAAGCAGCAAAATGAATCCTGCAGATATACCTGTTAGTCCACCTCTGAGGTATTTAACGGACAGCAAATGTTTACCTATCTTCATCTCAAATAAGATTAGAAAAACACCTGTTTTCTACCAAAGCTCCCCAGACAGATTTGGTTCTGAAACTTCAAATTCCTTTAATTTGTCTGTTTCCCCCCCCCCCTCATAGCTGTAAAGTCAATTCCAGGAACAAAGAATACAGAATCTAAATTTTCAATTCACTGCTAGTACACACTAGTTCATAAATCAATATACAAAGAACATTTGGAACAGGAAAAATGTCTTAATTAACAAAAAAATTTAAGAACATCACTACTCTCTTCCTGTAGGGCGAGAAATAAACAAGTTACCTCAATTTGGAGCTTTAAAAAGGACTCCCTACCGAAAACCTACAGGGCTGACTCCTTAAGATGGCTATAAAATGAATTACTGTTAAACCTGTAATAAGCTTTTATTTATTCAATCCTTTGCATAGCCCATTTTATCTCTCAAAGGATCTGTTACATGTAGTCTTCACAATAGATTCTTAAATAGTTTTAATAATCTGTCTACTATTCCCAAACACAAAATGCTTTCCACTTTTGTGACAACAAATCTCCTATCAATAAGCACCCAAATATTAAGTTATATGTAAGCATATAAGTTCCCTATTATCAAAGGGTTTAATGTTCAGGAGTCCCTCTTGCAATAAAAGTTTTTCTTCACGGACAGTTGTATGTGGTCTAAATTTCATTTTTGGCCCCTCAACTGCATTTAACTCTGTTAAATATTAGCAAAACATTAGTCTATTTCCCTCCCCATCTCCTCCCCAGAGTTACATGTAAAAATGTTTTTGTGCTATGCCTTAATATCACAAACTGAATGCCAAAGGATCTATCAAAGTCGTACCATATTAATGTGACAAAGCACCAACCCACTCTAGGGTTTGTAATTTAAATCAGAGGTCGCCACCTTCAACAAAAACATATATGGAGAATAAAGAGACATTGTCTGGAAATGTTTTATTTTGCTGTGACATAGCCAGGTATTATTATGCACTTTACATTCATTATCTCTGTGATTCTCACAATTTTTTTTGTCCTAAGTAACTACATTTTACAGATGAGGTCAAAACGGAAGTTTAGTGAGATTAAGTAACTCACACATGGTTCCAATTAGT